AGCAGAAATCCAGTGATCCAAGCAGACTCACAGTAGAGTGTGGCAAAATATGAGTGTTAATTCTCTAGGGAGCTGTCAAATTGTGCACTGGTTTTGAGGAAGAACCAGACATACAATCATTCTCACTGTAAATTTTTTTAAGTTTCCACCAACTCTACAACGTTCACAGTCATTCCCATGATATTAGTGTTTGACGTATGGAAAAAGTGCCAGACTTTGAAAGGAATGGGATTAAAGTATTAGGAAAAAATATGGTTTGTTGTATATTTTGGCTCATGGTGATAGAGAAAGCCTTCAACATCCTGGCAGTTTTATGATGTTTATTTTTGTATTTTTACAAAAGAGGGATATTTTTACAATGGTGAAGATATTCTGTGTGGCATTAAACTCACTGTCTTTTTCTAGAAGAAGTGGGTTTTTTTATGATTTCCATTCCTCAGTCATCAATATATTAACGAATAATTTCTATGAATTAACATGGGTTGACCTTTAAGGGTCTGACATTCCAGAGTCATCTGCAGGGTTAGCGCAGCATTGTTGCTGTCAGTGGACTTGCATCAATTTAGCCTGCAGTTAGGTTGGAAAGAAGACCTAAAAATGCAGGTGAGTTATACGAAACTTAACCCTCTTGATTCTTCAGAACATTTTTTTTTAAAAAAAAAGGCAAAGAAATCTTGTTTCTTCACCTGATTAGGTTCTAATTCAAATCCATTTCCAGGTGGTCTTGTTATAGAATAAGTTCTCACTGGAAAGGACAGACTGCATTGAACAACCAGATTTTGTTGAGGCAAGATGTTTTTTTGACATTTTTCAGTAATTTTTGTAGAGCACTGTTCAACTGACCTTCCAGTATTTCTGCTGTAGATTAGGGGATGGAAGTGGAGACAAGCACGTGAATGAAGAGTAAATAAGTGGTAGAGAACATGGGTAGCGTCACAGTGCAGCTTAATGGAAATTGCATGTTTCATTTCATAAATAACTTAAAACAGTTCAAATTTTGCTTTCCTTCCACATAAGAAAAAAAAACCCAAATCTTTTAGAGTTTTATGGGAAAAACAAATTTGAGAATTTAGAGGTTTTAATGTCAGAAATATGAAGCTTAAAAATGTTGAGTTATAAGGTATTTTTAAGTGTTATGAGTTTTCCATAATTTCATTAAGGGTTTATTGTTGCAAGATAGTATCTACGTATTCTTCCTACTAATAATTATGCTTTTTTTCCCCCAAGAAAATCACAATTGATAGGTGATACTGTTTAAAAAAATAATTTTTCTTCTCTAGAGACAGTATCTTTTGACTGTGTCACAATAAGACAGGATGATGTTTAGGCTTTCATATTTGGCTTTTTTCCAATAATTTTAAACCAAATGAGGATGATTTTGTGTGAAGGGAAACAATTACTCATAACAGCCTGACAGCCACTGGTTTGACAAACGATTACTCAAAATTCCAGACATCCCAGATATGGCAAATTAAGGAACATGTCTGATGTTTTCCAAATAGACTTGTTTATCCCTAAAAATAAATCATAATAGATTAGGCTAGGAGCACATACATCAGGCAATATAAAGCTGAGTCCTAACAGTCTTGGCCTGTTTTTTTTCCAGGTGAATGGCCTGGAAAATCAAGCAAACGAAGGTTTTTGTTGTATCCAAATATTCTCCTTTGATACTTCAAAACACACAAACTATAAATTCTATCCATACAGAAATGAATATGCTGATTTTAAAGTAACAAAGACCTCCAACTTCCACAAAAAGCGTTTAAGAAAATAATCAGGAATGTTTGATATGCACAGTAGATCCTTTCTGTATTTTATAAGCAGTGCATAGACTCCGAAAATACTCATGAAGAAAACTAGAAGATAAGTCCTTGTAATAGTAAATTAATCAAGTAGACAAATATTTACTGAAGCTTTTTCCTCTGATGTAATTTTTTTCCACTCTTTTGTCTTGCATCTGACTCATCATTTTACGGTCTCTTGCCCTCCTCTGTAGCCTTAGGATGCCCTTCTGCTTTTCTGTTGAAGTCTGGTTGTTCATGCAGCGTAGCTGTCTAGCGAGCTAATGCCTGTTGCCTCCTTGCTTCTGTTTGGATCTATGTGAGCTGATTTGTGCAGTAATTAGAAATATTTCAAATTTGTGGTTTCTTTGAGTTTTGCTTTTGAAAACCTGTTTTAAATACATATAGGACAATGGAATTCAGATTTCCATGTTCCTTGTGTGCATTATGGTTAAGCATCTTTATATTGGATATCCGTAAGCACATGAAAATTCTTTTATTTCTTTTCTCAGACCCAAATAATTATTACCACAGAAGAAATGAAATGACAACCACAGATAATCTTGACTTTAAGCATCACAACTACAAGGAAATGAGGCAGGTAGGCAAAGATGCTGGTGTGTGACCTCCTAGATATGGAGGAGGGTGGATGGGTAGAGGCTTTTGAGCTCTTAAGGAATCTGAATTCTACCTGTTAAAATTATTATTAAATGGTGTCTGCAATCTATTTAAAAAATCATGTTTTTCGGTTCTAATCGTTTAAAAGCAACAATCTATTAAAATCCCCAAGTCTTAATTTATACATCATCTAACCTTAAATGGTGACACTAGATGACAGAGGGAGTATTTACATGTCATGTGCCATCATTTTTCTTCCATGTATATTTTAGTGGTGAATGTTACAGTGGTTTCTCCTTTCAGATTTGACGCTGACTTAGCCATAAGAATTATCCTATATTTCAGTGGGTTTGGATAATCAGAATAAAAAAAAAAAAAAAAAGAAAAGAAAAATATTATAAAGAATTTTAAAAATCTTCTTAGTATCATTTTAAATCTACCAGCCTTGTTAATCTTGTTCCTTTAACCTCAAACAAGCAACCTTGTTGTTATTTTTGTTGTTGGTGGTTTTAATCTTGCTTCATATAACCACAGACACAGGTGTGGGTTGTGCTAAAGAATTATTTCTACCCACTTTCTTTTCAAATATAAAGATAATATATTTGGACTTGAAGTGTGTGAATCATTTGCTGTGTTCTGAATTTTCAGTACATTTATACTGCATGAATCACCATTCATTTTTATTAAGCAATTGTGTACTGAGTCACACATTTATTTTGGTAAAGATTTCGTGGCCTATATTTCTTAGCACAAAGATTAGACAAGTAGAAACTCAATTGGCATAATTACTGTCAAGAACAATAAAATAAAATGGATTTTAGATTCTCACTGCAGAAAGACAGGTTAGTCAGGTTAGAAATACCTTGGGGAAAAAAACTCCGCAGCTTTAAAACAGAAAGTTTTTCCACTTTTCATAGAAGCAGAGAATTTGGCTGAGAGCTGGTCAGCTGTGAACTGTCTTTGACTGTGCTCCCCCAAGTTCTGTTTTTCTGTATGTCAACATACTTTATTCAGAGCTTATTGGATTCTAATTGGGTTCTGCTGCTGGTAAAAAGATTGTGGGTTGGGTTTGCAATAAGTCTTAGATCTCCAAAACTATTCTTAGGACTTAATAAATTCTTTCCTGAGTGTAAAATAGAACAATAATTGTTAATTTCCAGAGTCAACTTAGTTTTTTTAAAAATACTGTGCATTATTTGTCAGTGTTATTAGCTAGTTAATTGTCAACCATCTTAGAAAACCACTGTTCTTTGAAGTTATTTATCATAAACACAGAAGAAAAAGGAGGAGTGAGTGTTCCCTGGGTGGTGTTCTGGAAGCATTACATTATATTGCAATATGTCAAGTATTTATGAGAGGGAGAGATTTTCTCAGTGTCAGATTATTTTAATAGAACTCTCTGTTTAGGAAGATGAAATTTATAGTACCAATTTTTTCTCTTAAAAGAGCATTCAGGATTCTTCTTTCAGTCAATGGGAACACTCGCTGTATCTTGTATGCAGAAGTCAGAATTGTTTTACAGTCCAAAATATTTACAGGATGTATTCATGCTGTATAGAAAGCTGTTAAAATAATTGATAGATATTCCCAGAAATAGTTTGAGATGGACATTTGTGTACAATTTTGTCTTTGGAATAGACTGAAATAGCTAACCTGGATCATAAATAACAGTGTTAATTTTGAAATCCATTTAACTTGATGTGACTCATAGCTTTGGACAAGCCAAACTCCAAGCACCCCTGAAGTCTCACGTTGCTCTTCATGGCCAGATGTGTTTATGAAGTGGTGTAATGATAATGCAGAAAATTGAAGAGCGCTGTATATGTTCCCAGTTGAACAGGTTTATTTGGAGGCGAAACAAGCAAACGTAGAAGGCTAGAGCGATACCCAGCAAACATCCTAGGTTGCACGCAATGCCAGGTTGACAGTCTCTATCTGGTAGTCTCCAACCTCAAGGAGGAGGTAGTTTCTAGTTTGGCCCGCAGCAGAACAAGAAATATGGAGATCTCCTCAGAGGGTAGGAAATAGCCCTAACCTGAGAGGCATTGACTGAGAGCCTTTTTGCCTCCTTTAAGTGTAGATGGCACTTAGACCTACATTTAATACACCTTTTCTGCAAAATGGAGGAATTGGGCCTTCGGAGACCAGTTTTGCGGGGCTTCTTCAGAGACCGCATGCAGTCTTTTTCCAGGGCACTAATAGGGTAAATAATTGGTAGTGACAAACAAATAGGAACTGTCAAATAAGAACTGTTAGTGAACGTAATTATGAAAGTGTTTTACAGTCCTGCTGGTGGTTAATAAAGCCCTGAGTGACTGTTATCATCAATTGTCTTTGACAGTTTGTACAAAGCGCAAAGAAAACACTGTGACATTGCAGGTGACCTATTGTGCCATTTGTAGGAAATGGGTATGAGAAAAGCAAATATGAAATATGTTAATTTTCAGTATTGTATTTACATATAAACATTTAACTACATTACTATATCCATACTGTTATAAAAGAGCCACAGTGAAGTCTACTGCAGAGGCCCTAATTCAGGAAAGGTTCTTTGTTTGACTCAGAAATTAATCACATGCTTGCAATTAAAGAGATGATGGGGAGTTTACTGAGGCCAATACAAATATTTCCACTGATTGTAATATACTTTGAATTTAGTTCTAGGCATTTTTCTCACTAGCAACGAACTTTTAACATACTTTGCTTTCCTAAATCAGTGCTCCGGGTATGCCGTGCCCACTGCAGTGCCAGGCGCGTTAGGAAAGCTTCTGCCCTGCAGCTTGATTTCAGAGACAGCTCTGAGAAGACAGGCTCATCTTCCCTACCTCACATCTCAGGGAGCTGCGTGGATGCAGCGATACGTCAGCCCGGAGGGACTTTCCAGCAGTTTGACGAGGGTGTAAGGAGAGGAATTAGTAAACACGGAGCTGAGACAGTAACATTATTTATGCGTTACAGAAAGTGTGTTTTAGCCTGCTAAAATAGACCTTCTTTTAATGCAATATCTGTACTCATTGGCAAAGTGAAAAAAAAAAAAAATCTCTGTTGGAGAAAAACACAGTATCTGATCCAATAATAATCCAGTTCATCCTCTTGTCAGTAGAACATAAATCTATAATTCACACCCAGTAGACCTTGGATAAGCTTTGGTCTGTGAGGCTCTAGTAAGAGGTCCATAGCTCCATACCCATTGATAGTATTTTTGGTTCATCATGAGTGGGTTCAGGTGTGGTAGCTCTTGACCATGAAGACTTAAGTCTGTCTGCCTGAAAAAGCTGGGAATTGACTTGTTTAAACCAAACACTAGCAAATATAAAACAATGTCCTCTGGCTTCACATATGTTTTTCAGCTGGAACAACAAATGATGACGTACCCACTTTCATATGCCAATAACGTTAAAAAGAGTTCCATGGAAACAGCTAGGAACCCATAATACCGGCACACTCATGATGATGACAGTGGTGAAAAAAAGTAGATAGGAAACTAGACAATACACTGAAAGAGCATAACTGATGGTATATTTCAGATGAGTGCTGAGTTTAGATTTGCAAAAGAAATTGTTTCTATATGTAAAAAAAACGTGTGAGATGAACAGACGTAAAAAAATAGCATCTTTGGGGTCTCTTTGAAACATGATTATAAATAGAAGTGAAGTCTTTTATGAGAGGAATTTTAATAATGTTCTTCCCAATGTGAATTGTGTTTCTGCTTAGATTTGCTAAATGGTGGCATGGGAATCGGACACATCTAATTATTGCATTTTTTAAATCATCAGCCTTGTGATCATCCAATATTATTTCTAAATTAACACTGTATGAGCAAAGAGTTTTGTTAGGCTACAATATTTCTTCAATAACATATGCACCCTTGTTTATGAAAGGATTGTCTAATTAATAGTCTCTAGGGTTCCAACTTACAGTAAAGTCCTTATTTCTTTCTTTAATGCCTTCCAATGAAAAAAAAATGAAGACACATTAATTCTTGTCATTTAAAGCTATTTGCAATAACTTCTTACTAACAACAATTTTCAGTCTTGTTTGTAAATTTTAACATTCAGCTAAAATGTCACAGTAAAGTGTTTGTGGGACAATTCAAACTCCAGATATCGCTATCTGGATGTCATCTGTGTCATTCCATTGGTTTAAACAGAACTCTACCCTTAACCACAACCTTCCCTATGCACTTTAGTAAGCATTAAGGCTATTTGATTATATTTTGACTATGTCATGCAATATCTGCAGAAAAAATGAATAGATTTTGACGATAGGAATGTCTTCAGACCATCTGTTGGCATTTCCATTATTAATTCTATTTTTTGCTGAAACTTGGTAAGCAAAGACTGAGGAATCTGTTATTTACTGAAGGAGTATATCCTGCTGTGTTTATGGAGTCATTCAGATTATATTTTTCCTCACTATTTTGGCTACATCAACACTGCCTTAACAGATGATTTTTCCATATGAGATTTCACACTGTAAATCAAGAAGGGTGGGCTTGGTTTCTACCTCAGTGGAGGCAGGTGTAATCAGAATTCACTGGGAAAATCGTGTTTAAATGCATGATATCATTCTCTCTTAGTTCGTTTTGAATTAAGTTACTGCCGCATAGGGCAAAGGAGAGAGAAATCTTCTTTACTGGCCAGAGTGTGTCTGTGGCAACCTGTAATGAATATGCATTGCCGTGCCACTGACACCCTGGGTCATCTCAAGTCACTGAGCTACAGTAAATCACAGAGTGTGTAGAAGGAAGAGTTAATGTGGCTAATTATCCTCCATTGCATAATGTTTTGAAAACATGTTTGGTTGTACAGTAGTAATGTTTTTGTTAGTTTTATTCCTTGAATTGAACTTCCCCCTCAAGTCCTTAATTTTGTAATAATATTACAAATATATCTCATGTAAGAAAGATCTTGAACCTCACCTACACTGTGGTGTTTCAGCAGACAGTACTCGGGTTGTTCCAGCTGAAGAAACATTATGTTGCGTGATAGCAGAGCCATAAATTCATGAACTAAACATAAAGCTTTTACAACTAAGAAATAACCAGAAAAGAGAAAGAAGAGGTTTTGCCACAACTAATTTGGGATGAAATAATTAATAGTGGATCTATTTTGATGCTGATTGTCTAACTATATGTCATTTTTTTTGTTGGCAGTTGATGAAAACCGTGAATAAAATGTGCCCGAATATCACAAGAATTTACAATATTGGAAAAAGCAACCAAGGACTAAAGCTGTATGCTGTTGAGATCTCTGACAACCCAGGAGAACACGAAGTTGGTTAGGATTTAGTCTAACTAAATCTGTTGAAGAGTGTTGGAATTTGGCTTTCTTTTTCCTCCTCATTCTCTGTATCTGCAGTAATTATCACTGATGGAATTATATTCGTGGTAGCAAAGATTTCAAATGTATGTGGGAGGAACTTCAGTGCTATATTTCTAAATTGGGAAGAGGAGGGTGAGCACAAATAGAAGACATTTTGAATGTGGGATCAAATTCTTTAACAATAATGAGTTTTATTCTTTACAATAACAAAATAAAAGTGAATTTTAGTACTGGGAAATGGATTTTAGTAGTGGAGATTTATGTAGCTTTGGATAGAAATTTACCTTTTTTGTATGGGGTGAATGCACTGTGAACGAGGACAGGTCAAATCTCCCAGATCATCTTTCACTGGTGAGTGTTGGGGTACAATTTCCTACAGTGATATAATTCTTCAGAATAGAAACTTATCCAGTCTTTGATCCTTCTGTGGAGAAAAATAAAGCTCTCACTATGATAGTGCCTGGGGCAGCTGTTGAAATAAAGGTGTCTTGTGTTTTGCCATGTCCATACGTACCCTGCCTGATATATGTTCATCCCACCCAAGGAAGAATGCTACAACGTGCTCCTAAGACATCTCTCTACTTTGCCATAAGGGATGGAGCACAATAGATGTAATTTCTCAGTAGGCTTGGGGCTGACCTTACACTGTAGTCTCTGAGTCTCAGATGTTAACACCAGAATAGTTCATCTAATCTGCCTTGTTCACTTACCTATTTTTGAGAGTCCTGCAGAAAAGATGTGAAGAGTCTATCATGAGCCAGACAAGCTGGGAGGGTGGATCCAGCCACAAGCCATAGCTTGGCCAGTTAGGGTCTGTCCTGTTGATGTCTGCAAGTGTTATTCATACAAAGGACAACTAAATTATGGGGCTTTTTTTAGTAGCTGGCATTATTCATAATCATCTCTGAAGTATTTTGTAGTTGAATGCAAGTATTGTGGCATTCGGTATAACCTTGAAAAATATATGTGAACCTGTTTTTTGAGGAGTGAAGGAAAAGGAGTGTGTGAAGTCAGAGATCAATTATGTCCAGTTACTGACTGTTTCTTTTAAGAGCCTTAACATCAGAACTACCAGCAATGTATATTTCATGTTATTTTTAGACTATCAGAGCTTTTAAAATCTACCTGTAACATACTGAAATTGTGAGTGTAATTAAAAATCTGTTTAATGGAAAATGAGTTTTGGAGATTTTACGTGGTGGCTTTATATATCACTGATACATAAACCTGCCCTTCTAAAACAGCAGCAGAAAGTAATTATCTCTTTCTGTAAAGTTACATTTTCACCTATCATTTGTTCAGTTAAGGCATTTCTCCAGCTCTCCTTAAGTGAAATGCTGCTGATTGACAAATGAAATTTGGTTAGATATTTGATTTGCTGCTGTGACTACACTTCTGCCCCATGTGTTTCCAACAGGTGAACCAGAATTTCGGTACATTGCAGGAGCTCATGGGAATGAAGTGCTCGGACGTGAGCTAATCCTTTTGTTAATGCAGTTCATGTGTCAGGAATACCTGGCTGGGAACCCGCGCATTGTACATCTCATTGAGGATACCAGAATCCACCTCCTGCCCTCAGTCAACCCAGATGGATATGACAAGGCATATAAAGCGGTAATACGGTTATGAACATATCAAGGAGTTATTTTCATTTTATTAGATTAATGAAACGTGCTCCTGTTGTCATTTTTTTCAAAGATCACATTTTACAAGCAATCAAAATAAACAACTTCAAAAGTAAACACATCAAAGCATACATAAACCACTAAGACACCTTACCCAGAAAAAAAGCTGAAAGAAACAGTATTCTATGTGATACTGGTTAACAAGAAGATGTGTATAGAAGCGAGGGCCACAAAGACTGCCAGAACAAACCATACTGAGGTGTGTAGATCAATAGGAACACCATTACGGAAAATGGAAAATTCATGCAGTCTGTTTCTCATGAGAAACCAAGCTAAGCACATGAAAAATTGCATTCCTCCACAGCTGAAATTTAATAGTGCATCTTTAAGGAGAGCACAGTTGTTGGGCATTGTACTCATTCAGTCTGGAAGAAGACAGACACCACGAGGAAAAATTTCAGGGGCTGGTAAAATGCACTAGAAAATAGAAAAGTCACACTCACAGCGGTGGATGGGAATATATGCCAGCTCCATTGCAATCTATGGGAAAACCAGTCTTAAATAGAGACCAGAACATTTTGGCTAACCCCAAGTAATTTTTCATGGGTTTTGCTTCACCTCATTCAAGGTTTCATAGAAAATGAAAAAAATGCCAGTTATTAATTTCAGTTAGTTAAATAATTCATCCTTCCCTTTCTCTGTATAGAGTTCTCTCTGACACATCCCCAAAAACCTTGCTGAGGGCTCACAGGTTGTCATATTTGGAATGAACATTTCTCTTTTTTTTTTTTTCTTCTGTTTTTTTTTTCTTTTTTTTTTTTTAAATCTAAGGGTTCAGAATTAGGGGGCTGGTCTTTAGGACGATGGACTCAGGACGGCATTGACATCAACAATAATTTCCCTGATTTAAACTCTTTGCTCTGGGAGTCTGAAGATCAGCAGAAGAGTAAAAGAAAAGTTCCAAACCATCACATCCCAATCCCCGACTGGTACCTGTCCGAAAATGCCACCGTGAGTAAGGCTAGAGAGAGGGGAACGCAAAGGCTGGGGCAGGCTGAAAGAGTGAGCTTTACAACTGATCTCAAGAAATTAGTAACTTGTAGGTGAAGTTACATACCTGGTCTAAGCTACTTGTTTAATCTTCCTTGTTAGTCAATAGAAATAAAAATGCACCACAAAAATACCATTCATCCCTGTATTTTAGAGGCAGCCTTTTGGAAGGGAACTGCTTCCCGGAGGATCCTCTTTTCCCTGGGATATTGCGAGAACCTGGAGGACTTCATACCCAACTTTTAGGCAGCAACAGGTTGACAAAGAGAAACCCGCTGCAGGGCTCAGTCCTGCAAATCAGGCTTCTCCCTAGTTTTGCAGTGTAGATGAGCTCTTTGCAAACTCAGTCACAATACAGATTTCTCCTGGGGTTTTCTTGATATTCTTTTTTGAAATAACACAGCAAACGCTGAGGCACATGCAAAACCAATGCAGTGGCTTATGCTAAAGTCATTTATTGGATCACAGTGCCAAAAATTTAACTTATTTTTGCATGGCTTTTTAAATCTAATGGCAACTATTTATAGTGGCTGAGATTCGCCTAGTTTGAGGGGAAGGCACTTAACTGTGTCAGTTCTGCCGGCTTTGTAAATATTTCTGTGCTTAAAATCCCTTATTTTGAAAACTCATTTCAGCCAATGGCAGGGGGAGCAGTGTCATGGTCTGACATCTCTGTTGGTTGCTGCTCTTGGCCTCACTCTACATTGATGTTCCTGCTGCAGAGATTACTAACATTAAGGTTTTGCTAGTTTTTGTGGGCTGTTGGTGACCTCCAGAGCACAGCTGGCAAGCACTGTAATTTAAAGAAGCTCTTCTCCTTGGCCACATCTCTTGTGCTGGCTACTCACTCCATGCTAAGAAACTCAAAGCAGGACTCCTGCATCTGGTCTACCTTTGAAAGAAGATTATCCAATTTCACAGGTTGAATCAAAGCTGCTCTTTCTTTTTCTCCCAGGTGGCAGTTGAGACGCGGGCAATAATAGCATGGATGGAAAAAATTCCTTTTGTGCTGGGTGGCAATTTGCAGGGAGGGGAGCTGGTGGTGGCGTACCCCTATGATATGGTGCGATCGATGTGGAAAACCCAGGATTACACACCTACCCCAGATGACCACGTCTTTCGCTGGCTTGCATATTCCTATGCCTCCACTCACCGCCTGATGACAGATGCGAGAAGGAGAGCGTGTCACACGGAGGATTTCCAAAAGGAGGATGGCACTGTTAATGGAGCGTCCTGGCATACCGTGGCTGGAAGTAAGTGTCCGTAGGAGCTGCAATTAGCGTTACCTCGCTAAATATGAGAATGCCGTCACTGCCTGGTGTATGTTGCAGTGGCAATGGTGGTCAAACTTGTGCACTAAGAGGAGAACATCCCCATCTGAAAGTCTGTTCACTGCATTTCGTCAGGTATCAGAGGGTTGAAGGAGACTGTGTCATTAATACCTGGTGGCCATTTAATTTACTACTGAGGTTTCTAAAAGTGCACATGGAATACGTTAGTTTTATGGATTTTATACATTCAAGATGGTTTGTCAGGAGAAAACCAACCCAGTCTAAACCCAGGAGGGAACCTGTCAGCCTTTGCCATCTCAGAGGGTGCCAACACAATGATGCTGCCAAACAGCAGAGGTAACCAGTGTCAGAGCCAAAGCAGTGACTCCCAAACCAGTCTGGGAGCCTTGGGAGAGACTCCAGTGGCCCTTGGATAAGAAAATCATGATTTCAGCCTCCTGCTTGCTGAACTCAGTTGCAGATTGGCCCCCACTCACATTCACTTTGAACTGTAAAAACATGCCACAAAAAGCTGCTGCTTGCCTGTTACCATCCTATTTTTAAAGGACCTGGACGTGCTTACACTTAAAATTTGCACGGGCTCCGTAGGCATTTCTGCTGCCAGAATACATTACAGACTGCATCATTCACCATATGCCCCAGCCTCTCACCCTGGTCAAGCAGTGTGAAGGGGAAGGCATGTCCTGCAGTTCAGACAAAGCATCGATTTCTAGGAAAGCCCAATTAGAAGCACATTTTTAACAGCAATGGGCGCAGTTATCTCTATGGGTGTACACTTCAAGCAGACTCGGAACAGGCACTCTGCTGATTCATCACAGTTCTGCTCAAAATCTTTGGTTTTTATAAGTACATCAGACAACGTATTCTATGAAATTAAGACATGAGCTGTGCATCTGCCATTGCGTGAATGACGATAGGAACAACTACAGCAGTAATGGCAAACAGATGCAAGTGAACATCTGTGCAGACCACGTTTTATTGGAGCTGGCTCTTGTTTGTACCTTGCAGGTAGTTTCACTGCATAAACATTTTTAAATTTTGGACACAACTTTTATGGCTTTTACATTGGCCTGTGTAAAGTTAATGCTGGCCAGCCTCTAAAGGCTAGAGCCAAGAATTAACTTTTCTTTTCAAATATTTTTCAGGAGGTTAAAAAGTGCTGGGTGAATTCGGGGGGGAAGGTTGAACTGCTTAGATCACAAGGCCAATGCCTGACAATACATTTCTACGCATTTCCACAAATTCTAAAAAAACCCTCTGAATGCTAACTTGACTGCTTAATTACCTAATTTATGAGTTTAATTTTCCTAAGTGCTATAAGAAACATGATTATGAATCGATCCAGAAAAGATGACATTGGCCATGTCACTAACGGCTGTCACACTAAGTTACATTAAGTAATGATGTACAATACAGATGCTGAATAGTATCTTGATTTCTTAGTAAAAATTGCATATTGGATTTAGTTCATCTGATTTGTTTTATTGCTTTATGATGTTTCTCATTATACTTTACATCCCACTCTCTTCCATTATAATAAGACTTCTGAGACTGAGCAAAATGCTGGAATATAGCTTTTACTTTCGATTCTTTACACCGTGGATTCCAGACTAAGCTTCAAAAGATGTGGTTTCCATTTGAGCTCAGCCTTCAACCTGCAGGATGGTTTTAGACCTCTTCTCTACATAGACAAATGGAAGAGAGTGATTTGTATGGCAGATGTATATATGTGTACATATATATGTATTACAGCTGATAGCTAACCCGTGGCACCTTGCGTTGTAAAGGGTTGTCCAAATATGATCCTAGATTTGGAGACAGATTTCCCCTATGTCTTTTCACTCTGTAAATCCATGCCTACATAGATGTAGCCGCTCCACTTTTTCTGTTTACTTACCTTTTAGATCAACATGTAACACTTTCTTTCCCTAAACCCCTGCTTGCTTAATGGCTGACCTGAAGGTGACACCCCAAAATATTGCTTGCAGAAAGCTGCCCCACCTGTCCTTTGGTGTGGGCGGCACCTCCTGGCTGTAGCACAACTTGAAGCTGCCCATCCTCTCTCTCCTCATCCACCTGCTCCCTGGCCTTGCAGCCATCGTGCATGAAAACTTTGCACTGCTCTATGCCATGGGAAAATTTATAAGGGACTTTTCCAATTCCTTTTCAGCACCAGAGAGTGCCTGGAGAAGTATGTGCACCATAGATGTCTTGCACAGATATCAAACACACTGCCTTTGAAACCCAGCCATGTTATTTCCTGCACATATCATGGGCTGCAATGAATACAAGTTCTTCAGCAATTTTACATATCACGTTTCTGCACTGCGTGAATTCCACAAAGGCAAAGAACAGCTGAATTTCATTTTACATCCAGTGTTTTCAAGGCTGGATTTGCATGTTTCAGACACTACACTGAGAGTTGCTCTTGGCAGCGTTAAGCCATTTTGTTAAATACATGTATTAAAACAGAGCAATTACTGTGTATTGCAAAACATTTCACAATAGATTAATCAGGATGCAATACAGTGTGAGAGGGGAAAATAACTGTGGCTGTTTCTCGAATGGAGGGGAAGCACATTTATGCAGAGTAGCATATGCCACTGTCTGATATTTAGGCTTTGCTCATCAACAAAAGCGAAAAGCTTAACATCTGCATTGTATAATCCTCCTGCTCTGCATCCAGAAGGCACTGAGGGCTCGTTAAATACTTGACTACTGCTCTATGGTAATTGGACAGAACTAGGGTTTTTTTTCTAACTCTTTTCAGTCAGAAGCACTTGGTGAATGCATTTCCTGCTAATCTTTGCCATTTAAAATATAAAAATTAATGATCATTAATAAATGCTTTTTAAAATAATCTTTTATTAGAAATGCAGGTGGAATAAGAAATGAAGCGCACGTCATTTCTTCCTCTTAGTGTTCATGTACTGTATCATGTTATCTGTGTGATCATGGAGAACTAATAAATGGGATTTCCCAAAGGAAAATTACTTGTGAGAAATGGGAAAGAAACCTGGAGAATGGAAAAGTTTGAGATCTGTATCTAAACACAGCCTTCCTTAGTGCTCAGGACCTTTGCAAAGGTCACAGCGCTCTCTGTACTGTGGACTTAAATTGCAGCTCCTCAGAGGTGGGAGGCATGGAGGTTCCTGGGTTTTGATTAGGACATATTTCTAATGGAAATCCCTGTGGCAGAACAGCAGTGCAAGTTCCAGTCCTCTGCAAAGCCATAACAGGGAAAGACCAGAATAGATCCTTTCATCCCTTACAAGACAATAGACACCATATATAACTTAAAAGATTTATTACTACCTTGATTTTTCTGGCTTTCCTATCATTTAGATTACTTACATGGGAAAACATTTAGACTGAGAAATGATTTTGTCTGCTGTTCTGATAAATCATTTTTACATAACCACTGTGTGCACATTACTCTGCATCCTGACATTTAGGGTTGTATAAGTTCGGTTAATGGCCCCACATCCGAGCAAGGGAATGTAGACCGTCCCATTTCTACCCCGGGCAATCATAAGGTGAGAGCTGCTCCATGGGAATGTATCCAGGATTAGCGAAGTTTAGTGCTTTAAAAGCAAAGCACAAACTTTTTGCTGTAAAAAACCTTTCCTAACATCTTCCTGGTGTGCCCCCATCTTCTCCATCAATATCATAGAAACCTTATCTGGAATTACTTTAATTTTTTTGTTTGTTTTCTGCTAACTCTCTATTTCCTTTAAGTTTTGTGGTGGCAGAAGGACGCTGCTCTTTGCAGCAAAGGAGTGGGGATGCGGGGCTGGGCTGACATGGGGGGCCCTGCTGTCATGCTGCAATCTCGTCTCCTCAGTTTTGCACATGTTGGTGGGACGCTGTCTTTAGAAAGCCTTGTTTTGTTACATGTACGGCTCTGATGTTACCCCGGCACTCTGTTACAGGAGATGTGGCATTCCTAAAAAACTTTTGCCCTGCCAAGGCTGCAAACTAAGTCAGCTAGAAAAATACCCGGTTTGTGTTTAAATAAGTTATATTACTTTGCATAAAATAATCAGATCTGATCAATAGATTACAAGATGATATAAAATTGTTTCTTTTTTACCTCCTATTGACAGGCATAAACGACTTCAGTTATCTGCACACAAACTGCTTTGAGCTATCCATCTACGTTGGCTGTGACAAGTATCCCCACGAGAGTGAGCTGCCCGAAGAATGGGAAAACAACCGCGAGTCCCTGATTGTTTTTATGGAACAGGTATTCGACAGAAGAACAACTTCTGAATAACTTGATGACTCCTTTCAGATTGAAAGGGAGTTTAAGGTTTCTGATATTTTTCTTGCATGACTAATTACATGATTATCGTGATAGAAACCTTACCTATAAGCAATACTGGCATATCACTTCAGCCAGGCTGTTTTAACTTAGGAGGACAAAATAACAAAGCTTGTTAAAATTTGACATGAGTGCAAAGCTTGCTAGTAATGACTGCCAGAAAAAAAAAATCTCCTTATGTCTGCTTCTTTATCTGCTTGTTTTATCTGTCGCTCGAATTTGATGCCTCAGGAATGCTAACAGAATTTGTAAGCTGGTTCAGAAGTAGCTAATGCCTGAAGGCTGATACTGGGTTAATAATGATATTTCAAAGTTACATGAACCATAAAGTAGGAATAGAATACACTTTGTTCACATATGGAATTAATGATTTGTTGTATCTTCCTAATGATAGTACTGTGCATTGCTGTGCAATACATATTTGGGTTTTTTATTCTCTCAATAGGTCCACCGAGGCATCAAAGGCATAGTAAAAGACGTGCATGGAAAGGGAATCCCAAATGCTGTTATTTCAGTAGAAGGCGTTAACCATGACATTCGCACAGGTAAGAAAAACAAAACCAAAATCATCAGTGCAAATGAACAGGTTTACGGTTTAAAAACAAAATACAGAAACTCATTGCAACTTTGAACGCTTTTCTGAGAAAAGCCAGCAGATAGTATGCAGTCCAAGGAAAGCGTTGCAGAAGGAGTGGCACATGAGGAGGGGGTCATTCTTCCCATGGTGCAGCTGCAGAGACAGGAACAGAACTGTGGCTTTCCACCTCTTTTACAGGAGTGAGCAAACGGCCTTTTATCTGCCCCAAGTCAACAGCCTGAGTAAGGCTATGTCTAAAGAACTCTTATTACTCCTTTTCTCGTGTAAAGGTAGCACAAATCTAACCCAGAATAATTATAGCACTGAAAAACAAGGGTGTAGGTAATGCCTTGGTGGGTGAAGAGTGTTTCTCTGGCTGTTAACAGTTACAGGACTGCGAATGTGTTGGAGAAGTGATTTGGAGCTGTGTCCGGAGGAGGAACAGCTGTTGCAGGGAAGGGGGAGTTTCACAACCTGAAGAGTCTCCTGCAAAACATCACAGCTTTCTAAAAGATCATTTAATGGGGCTCAGTAGAGACACTGCTTTGCACGGGAGAATTTCAGCCCAGAGAATTACTTTTCAATCTGTATAGTCCAAAAAAAATACACAGTTGGCTATTTGCCTTGTTAGCACAGTCTTGATCTATACCCAGACACAGATATGTATACTCAGTGTAAACTCTAACCCTATTTAATGGCCTGGAAAGTAGTTACGGCACTAAATAAAGAACTGCTTTAAACAGACCCTAGCCAATTCCAAGATTAATAGTAATACCTGAAAACTGTTGTTGGCAGATAGCGGGCGGGATTGTGTCCAATGGCCATTGTGCTTGTCTAGGTACTGTACCGTGATTTAAGACACACAGTCATCTTAAATGGAGAAACAACAGAGGGGACATAGCAAGGAGAGGAGCATGCGGAAAGAAATAGCAAAACAAGATGTCAGCAGGAGTCTTTAGTGATTGCACTCAAAGTGCTGGTTGAAAGAGGTTAACAAGGTTTCTGTTGGATGTTTATGGAAAAGTAGCGTCACGGTGAATAATCAGACAAATGGTATTGTTGCGTGCTCTAGATTTGTTTCAATAATAGAATCAGGGACACTAATTTTACGTGTTTTTTACATCCTGACTGGCATTCTGGGTCTTTCATTTGCTGCCACTTTCACGTGCTTTGCCACCAAAGTACAGTATGGTATGCTTTGACATGTAAACTGATTTCAGGCTATGGAATATCATAGAGCTTTAGATAAGAGACTTCCAAATCTTTAATGTTTGCTACAGTAGATTATCTGAGCCAATAATAAATCTTGGAATGACTAACTTGGTTTATGATTAAATTTATTTCAGTGCTACTGTGTCTCTGTTGTAAAAGAAAACATTGAATGACAGATATTTAATTAGGCAATAATGATTCTGCCTTAAATATTTCAAAATGGGACCACTGGGAAATGATAGCAGGACTTAAAGTAATCAGTTGTTTTTCCTTGTCTTGGAAGTCTTGGCAGTCTTGACAGACTGCCATAAACTGTAGGTTGTATTACTCTGTTAACAGAATTAATATATTGCTCTGGTTGAGGCCGAGTATATGCAATAGGTGATTAATCTCCAGCTCTCAGCACACTGTGTTGCCACATGAAAGAAAAAATCAACGGTTTAAAGACAGCAAACACGCATGTGGAAAGGAGTCCTAGTGGCATGTGTAATAAATATGCAAGATCCCAGAATCCACCTTGTAATGCTCGGGGAATCTTGCAGCTGTTTACAACTAGACTTAGAGCTGAGCTTCTGTGGCTCGAGGCCACCTGCACTCATTAGTAAAAATAAAAGTACTTATTTAATTCTTTTTAATTCTTCTTTTTAATGAGACGTTTTAAGCTGACAGTCTGTTTGGGAATCACTTTGTACATGGGAAGATAAAAGTTTTATCTTGTTTTATATTATACATGTAACAATGTATGTCTCATTACTCATTGAAACTAGAGAATTTATGTTGGAGCCAAAAAGCTAAAATGACATATATAACTCCAGAGAAAGAAGGCAAATTGTCAGCAGTCTTCTTTCATTTATACATTTTAAAATGAAAAATGTGTCCATTTAAACCTCTGAGCTGCCTTGATATAAAAATAGGCCAAGTAGGAGAAGAATTATGGCCACTATCTCTATTCATATAAGTTTTAAGTGAGCTAAGCTGTAAGGTAGCTACTGTTTCTTTGATACATTAGTGTGGTCAACTACCCTGTAGAGCCAGACAAAAGTTGTCTGTAAAGGCCCTCTAATAACATTCACTTGTTTGAGAAAATTTCTCTGCTTCTTCTTGTGGACAAAAAAAAAGTGCATGGAACACTTTTTTTTAATTTCTCTTGGCCATACAATATATCTTACAGGAAGAGAGGGTTGGTGACACTAAGCTAACAATATTAATAGGCTAATTGAAGTCATTGATTCTGAGAGTAAGAGCTTTGTGGAAAACTATTCCATTTCTCTTGATGCAGATGTAGCTATTGATTAAGTCTGAGTGATTACATGTTACAGTTAGACGTGGACTGTGCTCTATGAGATAACCTTTGGAAAAGAGTTCACCAGCTGGATGACCAAATGCACCTGGACACCTCCTTTCCCCATGGTGCAAAGGCAGTTTTGTGGGTTGCTTCCCGTAATTGCACATTTTGGAAACCTCAAAGCAAATCTTGATGAAGAAATGTAGAGTTTCCTTCTAGTGAAACACTTCGGTATCACAGCCCGTACCAGAGTCCAAAGATGGATGCACATCTATGATTTCTGTGTGATTTTTGCAATAAAGCATAATTAATTTAATTTCACACAATGTTGAGAGAAATTTTTATGAATATTTTGGTAAGTTTCATATGATTTCAGTACACTTTATGTAACGAAACCCAAAGATTTTGAAGTAGATTTAGTAATATTTAATAACATTAGACTAAGCTAAGCATAATTCTGGTATTATAACTCTCCAGCCTCATTCCTGGCTGCCTGTTCAGTAGAGAAAAGTTAAGTTTTAGTTATTATATGCATTGGGTGTGCAGCACTATGGCTAGCTTTCCTGGAGAGTCTTTTGTGGGTAACAGAGCACTAGGATAGATTTTTATAATGTATTTAAATTAGTAAAATGTGGTACATGTAAGTGTAAATATGACACAATTGTAACAGAGGACTGTCCTGTCAGGCTCAAAGAGTGTTCCTCTGAATTGAAGTGTTTATGGAGTATCTGACATTTAATTTATAATAATACCATCTTCGTATTTTTATGCATTGTTATTTTATCTAAGCAGACATGGCAATTCTTTCCCAGACCCAATAGGAGGAGATAGTCTGCCTCCAGCCTGCTCCCACTGGAGCCTACTCTTTTAGCAAACCTATTATTTACTAAATTTATCTGTATTTTTAATTGTGTTTCTCTTACCATCTGCTCTGAAATTTTTTACCTACTGCATTTAATCTGATTTAAAAAAAAAAACCAAAAACTTTTAGCCTGGTATTTAATTCTGGGCAATGACAGCTGACAGAAATACTAATGTCTACTTACTTGTAAATGGAAAGCAGGTACAGTACATCCTGCTAACAGTTTAATATCCAGCCTTATAATAATTTCCCGGTGGTGTGTGAATGTGTAGATTTTTTTCTGGCCTTGTGTGTGGGGTTGTGATGAACTGCCTGTTAAATGTGTCAGAAAAATGTGGGTCAGTTTTGAAGTCCAGGGACTAAAGCCAAACTCTGAGCAGGGATACGTTCACAGCCACGCATGGGGTGATCCGTAGCCTTTCGCCAGCCCTGTAGTATCGCCAGAGCATTTACAGCTAAAAATGAGCCCTTAGGGATAAATTCCAGAAATCTGGGCAGCTTTGTTTCGTGGTTTGGTTAAGGTGTCAATGGACACAATAGTAAGGGAGAACTGAATAAAGAGCTTCTCAGAGAGCCCTTCCTAAAAATGCCCGAGTCCTGAGAAGCAGCAAATCCAGACTTTGATCATCACACCAATTAGGGTCAAACTGGCTGAAAGAAAAACCTGAGCAAGCTGGTTTGCAAGAATAACCTGGTCGGGTGTGCTACTTGCACACATTTCACACTTGCGTTCAGAGACTGCACTATCAGTGTATAGCTGATATCGCTGTTTTGCTAACACTTGCTGTTTGCAAACATATTCACTATTTTACCAAGCCCTAAATTAAAATCATATTTCTCTAAACAGAGGCTAGCTAGTCTGATCTTTTTCCAAATGTAATATTTTTACCCAAATCATCTTTAGTTTTTGCAATACACTGCATTGCAAGCGACTCAAGGCTAGTGACAGTAAGGTTGTCGGTTCTTATCAGTGTTAAAAAAAACCTAACCCCTCTTCATACAAGAGATGTTGCATTTCTATTTATATCTAGAATTACATACTTGAATATGCACTTTCATTCCACAGTGGGTTTTCCCAGGATAGAGTGCAAAACTAATTTTAGATATGAATGTTTCACCTTTTTCAATCCACAGCTAAGCAATACTTGCTAGTTAAAATGTCTAAAACCATCCTTATGTACCTATGGGTAACCTGAGATTATATACGGGGGAAAAAAAAAAGAAAACAGAAAGTCCTGATTCAACGATGTGTTAAAATACATCTTTCTTTATGCATGAGTAATTTTGTTGATTAGAGGAGCTCTCTTCATGCTCTTACGGGTAAGCAAGTGGTAGAGTACACGATGAATTACAGTTTGTAGGAAAATTAGTGGAATAAAACTCAATGTAAGATTTTATGGAAGGGGGATTTACTTAGGTCTCTAAGTGAGTTGACATTATGCATTCACATGCTTTGCGATATATATATATATCACCAAATATCACTAAATAACACCAAAACGCCTGTGTCCAGGTGGTCTGGCCAGGATCATGAGTGCTATGTAGGTACCCCACTGGAGCTTCTCTTGCCTGGTTAGTTAGAAATTAGTTTGGGGAAGGTCGTTTATACCCCTCAGGGATCACCAACCATTACAAGATGACCCTTTGCCTCAGGATCTTTTTGACTTCAACTGACAGAAATCTTAGGCCAGACTGAAGCCCATCATCCTTTTTTCATCATTTGGAAAATATGTTTGAGGTGTGTTTTCCTGTAGGGTTGGCAGGACGAGGAGGGGTACGTGTGATGGGCGGCAGCCTCCTTGGCACCGTCCTGGTGTGACAATGCAGGGTTGCTGCCTGTGCCGTCACCTTATTTCTGGTATTTCTGTATTCTCATAAACAAATTCCTCAAGGAGAAAGGGCCACTGTCCTGAAAACCATCTCTTTTCCTACCAGGAGCCGATGGGGATTACTGGCGTCTTCTCAACCCAGGAGAATATGTGGTGGGTGTGAAGGCAGAGGGCTACACCACCGCCACCAAGACCTGCGAAGTCGGCTACGACATGGGAGCTACCCAGTGCGACTTCACCATCTCCAAAACCAACCTGGCGAGAATCAAGGAGATCATGAAGAAGTTTGGGAAGCAGCCGATCAGCCTGTCCATCCGGCGGCTCAGGCAGAGGGCTCGGCAGTGGCGGGAGCAGCGATAGACCTCAGCTCGGCAGCCTGCGAGGTCCACGAGCTCTGCTTCTGTCAGCCTGGCTCTAGTCGTAGTGAGAGTTACATAGCCCGTCTCTTCATACATATTTCTCTGCACGAGGCCTTTCTGTTAGTGGAGCTGGATGAATAGTGGGGTTTTTCAGTTTGGCAAAAAACCAGAAACAAAATTCAAGTTGAACCAAAATAAGCCCCGGTCTGGGGGGAGAGGCAGGAAGACTGTAGAAAGATGTTTTGAGTTAATCTGGAATGAAATTTTTTGCTTGTTGGGTTATTTAATCCTTTGTAAATCTGTTTTCTTTAAAAATAGAAAAAAGAAAAAAGAGATACTTATAAAGGAGAAGTGCTTTTTTTAATGAAAAACTGAAAAATGTTGTTTCTAAAGTATAAAATTGGTATATTTTTGCAGTTCAAAAAAGTTTTGACACTCTCTATATTTTACTCTCATATAGGAGGTAAGCTGAGAGGGGACAACTTCTATTGAATATCATTAAAATCTGTGTCAAAATTTCAGTCCCCCTTTCCCTGAAAGTCCACCTTTTGACAGGCACCATAATACTTGGGGAAAAAATGTGAAGCGAATAACCCACCTTAGCTTTCCTGCTTGGGTTGTTTGTATTTAAGGATGTCTTGTGATTCCAGAGTTTAATGCCAGGAGTGGTTTTCTCCTCTGGCTTTTTAAGGATGCGTTTTTACTCCATTAACTAAACCTAATGACAAGGGCAAGGGATAAGGACCACTGCAGCACTGTGGCGTGGCACCCCTTCTCTAACCTGGGAGAAGGACTCGAAACAAAGCTTTTCTTGTGGATACAGCCAGTCATATCTCACATATGTGAGGAGAGTTTGGGTCACTGGCATGTGCATAGTTCACAAATCCACTGACATCATATTTTTTCTTGATTCTGTCCTGCCTGTAAGTGCTTTTTGTGCTCATACACACCTTGTGCCGCTGTGTTCCATGACATGCAAGGGATTTTGTATTCCTCTGCGTGGTCTGCTCATCTCGCCACTGCACTGCTGCTGCTTTTCTGGCCGTACAAATCTATGAGAGCAGGATTTGTGCTTTATTACTGGCTTTTAAGTAACAAAATTGTACAGCAGGACAGGATTGAGGTTCAGGAAAGATGCAGATCAGATCTAGGAAACAATGAACTACATAAACACTGGTCAAACTGTCAGCTGGTGAAAATCAACTTTGCTCTGCTAGCTTCAGTGTTACAACCTTAATTATACCAAATGAAGGGCCAGCTGTATGATTTTAGCCAGTCAAAAGTCTGTGGCTAAATAAACATCTCTTAATATGCTTGGTAGAAAGACTGCGGCATACACTTCCAAATACAGTCCTGTTTAAAGTATTTTAATTGCTATTACAGTTTTTGCCTATTTGATATGATTCTTGGAAAAAACATTCACCAAAGTATCATTCAAAACAGAAAAAATAAAGTGCAAGTAGAAAACTTACTGTAAAAATACCATGTGCCATCTGTATTAAATCTTTTTTTCTTGTCAACGAATCTTGTAAACACAGAAAAGGCAAAAGAGTGCAGAATGAATAATACAATCATGAGCCTTGCATAATAAATAGTCATATTCTTAAATTGCTTAGACAATTCCAGCCCATGCTTGTTCTGCAGATACCATTAAATAACAGCAATGTGTTTGGCAGCAAGGGCTCAAAGAAAATAGAAGAGTGCATACATAATGTTCTTTAACTGAAATTATGGGACTCCAACTCCCATCAGCATCATTTAAATTAAGTAATAGAGGTAAACAAATAATCCAATCATTATATTAGCATTGGGAATTATATTTTATTTATTTCACTCTATTTACCACCCTTACAACATTCTACATGCCATATATTTTTTTTTATAGCAAATATAACAGCAACTTGTCAAGAAGGGTTTTTTTGGCAGCTGAGAAGGGATTAATGATGTCGTCGTGCAGGTAGCGATGTGAAATAATTTTGGAATATGGAGTAATGACAGCAGACAATTTGTTAGCAGTTTAATTTGGCTTGTTCATTGGCATATATAGGTTTTGTTACCACCACAATAGATCAGGGCCATACACAATTTTTTGTGTTATGAACTGATGGAGTTTCTTAGGTGGCTTCTCTCTGGACTTCCACAAAAGATACCTGGTCATCTTGCTGGGGGTAGTTGGCATGCACAGGAAAACAAGGAACTAACCAGCCAAATTTAAATCACTCTGATAATCCGATTGAGGGTGGAAACCACTATCTTAGTCCTGGCCGGTCAGTTCTTTCTACCTTGAAGTAATGTTTCAGGCTGCTTTGAGATTTACTTTACAAACCTAGAGGTCCCTATGCTTTGTTCTCAGGTATGAGATTATCTCAATGGGAAGTTATTTTTTTATTTGATAGCAAGGAGTGGATTTGATGGGAAATTCTTCAATGGCTATTAGCTAAAATTAGATGGACTCTGATTGCTGAAGTCCTTAGTAACACCAGACACCAAAGACAGTGGCCTTGGTGCTCTTTACTGGCCGTGACTAGTGCTCAGACATACTTGGGCACAGCAGAACTATGACTAATGCAGGTGACCTTACTCCATTTTAGTCCAGGCATTACTAAATAAATGGCCTAATAGCTGTCAAGTCTACTTGTCTGTGCAATTATTTTTTCATTGTCCAGCACCTTTATGCTGGAAAACACTCAAGTTCAAAGGAATTTTACTAGGAACTTCAGATGTGTGAATATCTTGTGCTAAGATGCTTATGCTTGCCCTGAATATAATAATACTGAACTGATGTGTGCCCTATTTACTGCTGTAGTTATGCACTCGGGAGTTAAAATGTTCATTTTCTTTGAAATACATAGCACCACTATTTAACCTTTAGATAGATCCAAACCACAAACCAATAAATTTGTATACGAATGTTTTCTATTTATCTACCTTTTCCACATCTTTAGAACAAGTAATTTTTTCTAGATTCTGTGCTTTTAATCTCTTTTCCTTTTAGTGTTGTAGGAAAATAGGCAACCCTGCAGAAATGACAGGAAATAAAGCTTGAGGATGGATATGCTCCTTTTATAATTACAGCTCCATTTTAACAGCTACTTATATGAGGACCTTGCTAAGTTTTGATCATCCCCGATATAAAAGAAAAAAATAAACACCCTTCCAAGTAATAAGACATCCAGCTACACAATCTCACCCACACAGTGAAGGTTAAACAAATAAAAGGTTAAAACAGGACATATTCCACTCGCCTTGATAATTACCAGCCATCCGTCATCTGCTCCCATGCAGAGCCCTGACAATCATAAAATGCAGTGGGAGCTGGCTGGCTTCTCCTTGACTATCCATGTTATGCTATCTAGCTATTCATTTTTTATCTGCTTAATTATCATAATTTTTATCACCCCATATCTCAGTTTTTCTCATCCATCTTAGTAACTATAAGTATGTTAACCTCTCAAAGACAGATCTCAGTATCTGCAAATCAGCTTGGGAATGCTGAAACCAATAAACTGTATCCACAAAAACTATATCTACTTACACACGTTGGTATAAGTGTAGTGAAACTTGGTAATCTCCAACCCAAATTTAATCTGCTGGCACCAGAAGACTGCTAGGAGTATCTGAGTATCCCTTTTACCAGGAGGTTGAGCTCTGTGTGGGTAAAACACACTGATAAAAATGGATGTAAATGAAGCTATTGACTATGCTGGTGAAGAAATGCAATTTTTCGGTGGATATTTTAAGCCTGTCACATATTTTCAACTTCTGTCACCAACTACTTTCTCTTCTTTTATCCATGTATAGTTGTGGGTTTTTTCCTCTAACTTCAGCTCATTATTTTCAGTGAATATGGGACATCTTCCCAAAGTGTGCATTTTGGCAGTCAGTGATGGAGTTATACAGCCAGATTTACTTGCCTCTTTATCATGTTGTAGTAGGTGGTTGACCTTTTTGAGAAACACTGGAACAGAGATGAGTAAACTTAAAATAGGGTACCAGTGGTTTCACACCAACGACTTTCACTAGTTAACCTTTAAAAATTGGCATATAATATATTTTCTAAGGCTCTGAAAATGCCTGAGTTTGGAGGCAAATGTGCCTCTCTACCATTTATCTTTGTAATCAGTCTCTGTGTAAATTCAGTCATAATACCATAAGCCTGAGGGAGGAAGTATAAAAACACATACAAGTCGTATAAATTGTGGTAGCATCACGTCCTGCTGCAGTACACCGCTGTGCCGGCATAGAAGCACCGCAAGACAAACAGCTCTGTGTACACCTACCAGATCTCCAGCAGGAGCCCAAACCAGCTCTCTTTCATACTCACTGAGAGCATACAACTTTCCAAAAGTCCTTTTCTTTTCTTACTTGGAGCAGTTGCGTACATGGAAAGAGGGTCAGTGATTTTTACAGTTGATTTCATGGATAATTTTAGTGCCACTTTTGCCTCTGATTCTTTGTGCTATTGTAGTGGCAAGCAGTTTTCTCAGTCCTTGAGAAATGGTTATGAATGGTTTTTGGCTTCAGGTGATTAACTTATAGAAGCTTTAGGTCTTTATTCTGGTATTTCCTTAATTTTCCAAGTTTAAATCACATCTACATACTTAGTCTAATGTGCTTTCTAGTCTTTAATTTCTTTTTAAATGTCATTCAGCTTGAGATGACATTTTTGTATTTCACTGTAACTCTATAATATGATTTTTGAGCTGCAAAATTTATGTCCAAAGAAGCCATGAATGCAATCTTGTGCCTGGAACAGTAAGTCACTGAATAACCATCCTTTGCCATCTTCCACTGATATAATCACCATTTTACAGCATGCATAGCCAGTTTAAGTCTAGGTGAGACTTACAAACCCACCAAGTCCACATTTAGATTTGCAGGACAATTTGTTGATGAGTTGTTGTGGTAGCTTCCCTGTCCTCTTAACCTGACAAATTATACAATTTTATTTTGATGAAGATTTGAATTACTGCTTCACATGAACATTTTAAACAGTGCTCTCATGCTCATTATC